GCACTCATATATGCCTTTTTGAACAATATTTAATTAAATTTCAACTGAGGGCAACAATGCAATGATTCTTTGTACAAGTGAAATATGTTTTCTCCCCCAAAGAGGAAACAAACCCCTTTCCATTTTGTGGGGATAATCATCCCTTTTCTAGAGAAATCATAATCCTTCTCTGCTACCCAGTAACTTAAGTAGTGAAAGGTTAAATGCTGTCCGCAAATGTTATATTACATATTGTAGAAGAGTGGGAATGAAAAGGCTAGTGCATACAAAAGTCTTCATAGTGAAACGAGGAAGTGGGGCGGGAGAGATGGCCCAGCGCTTAAGGGCACTGACTGCTCTTGTAGAGGACCCAGGTTTGAGTCCTAGCCCCTACATGGAGGCTAAAAACTGTAACTCCAGTTCCAAGAGATCGGATGCCCTCTTCTGACCTTTGTGGGCACTGCATGACACAGAGGCATTTATCTACAAACTTCCTGAAGGCAATACACTCATACCCATAAAGTAAAAATAATCAAGGAAATATTTAAAATGAGGAAGAATAGTGATAACTATTCTAGCCCTTATTCTCTGGCTGGTCACATGGTCATAGCTGGTATAATTATTATTTTTATGTATATGAGTGTATTGCCTGCATGTGTGTAAGTGCACCAGAGTCCTGCAGTGCCTGAAGAGGTCGGAAGAGGGTGTTGGATCCCCTAGAACTGAAGTTACAGATGATTGTTAGCCACCATGTGGGTGCCAGGAATCGAACCCAGGCCTTCTGCAAAACCAGTCAGTGCTCTTAACCGCTGAGCCATCTCTCCAGCCCATAGCTGGTGTTTATAACTATATTCTCCAGTACCCATTTCATATCCTGGTCACCTTCAGCAAAACTTAGCTGATTGTAGTTTCCTGCCTCCTTCTGTGGCCTAAACCTTAAAAATCTGACCCTTGTGAGCCACTGACAATCCTGCCTCCATTAGTCTGTCATCCTCCTTTCTTCCATAGGTTTTGGGAATAAGAAGAGTATCTTTTTCCTCATGGCCATTTTGTAATAGAAATCCGCTTTTTCCTTGACCAAGATTAATGCCTCAAAACAATAGCATACTCTTATTTACATTTGATTCCCCAGCATGGCATGAGCAAACCTGAGTAGCCAGGTGACAGCCTTCTCTCCCCATGTAATGTAACTGCTGGCGAATCTTTTGCTGGAGGCATTCTTCCCCTTAGTACTGAAACTTTTTTTTAAAACCTTTTTAATTTTTATTTTATGTGTATGAGTGTATTGCCTGCATGTGTGTGAGTGCATCCGTGTCATGCAATGCCTCCGAGGTCAGAAGAGGGCTTCAGATTCCCCTGGAACTGGAGTTAAAGATGGTTCATAGCCACCATGTGGGTGGTGGGAATCGAACCTGGGTCCTCTGCAACAGCAGTCAGTGCTCTTAACCGTGGAGCCAACTCTCCAGCCCCAGTACTGAAGCTTTTAACTCAAAGTTGTAGAAAGTGGGAAACAAAATATCACTAGCAGATTTCTAGAAGTAACAATGAGAAGATCGTTGACCATTTACAGATCTGATTTCTTGACTTTGAAGTCCTATAAGAGAAACATAATCATATATTGAACACTGATTTACAGCACAAAATACATATTGAAAAATATTTTCCTGCTCCAAAAGGTGTTGACATCATAGCTGAGTTTTCAGAAAGCCACACCTGATTTTACATGGTCGTTTAAGGTAATGGAGCACATACTCAGACCAGTGAATTTCATAAATAGCCAATTTGCACAATTCATTCTCAATAAGTTCCTTGACCAGAAACAACACGTGGTGGTATATCATAACAATGAATATGGCATTCTGTATGTCTATACAATAGTGATTTGTGAGCAGCACTGTGGGTCAGAAAGGAAAATATACTCTTCTTCTTTAAGTGTCTACTTAAGTGTCTTCTTTAAGTGTCTACTTCAGTGACAGTCAATAGCTTACCCAGTCTTACCTGAGTAATTAACTGGCCACAGGGGCTGGCTCATCCTCCTGAAGAATGGTGCTGTGATATGATATCATTGTCAGTTTCTTTTTAAAAATGTTTTTTATTTTATGTGAAAAATTATACTTTATATGTGCTTTGCCTACATGTATGTAAGTGCACCATGTGCATGCAATGCCCTGCAGAGGCCAGAAAGGGGTGTCAGAACCCCCAGAACTGAAGCTACAGTTGTGAGTGCTGGAAATCAAACCCAGGTCCTTTGGAAGATCAGGAAGTGTTTTAAGCCACTGAGCCATCTCTCCAGCCCCTGTTAGTTTCTGATATTGGCAGATTGGGCCTTTAATAGTGGCCTTAGCCAGATTTGCTGTGAGAGTGAAAGGCATTTGTAACTGCCATGACTACTTTTTTTGTGGACCCATTGAGGAAGAGCAGGAATGGATGGGAAAAGAGATTGCCTGATATCTATTATAAACATGCTCTCTGCATAGGCTGCTCTTTGATTGCCATTCATATGCGGCACTACTATACTATCTCCACACTTTATTTATACAGAGAGCTCTAACTACCTGCCCATTTTCTAGATTGCCTCAATAATTTCGACTGTTTTTCTTCTAATTACCTATCCATCCAGCCAAATGATTAGCTTATGAATTACCACAGACCCCTAACTCTTGCTATCACTCCTCCTGGGAAAAACTAACAACCAAATATACTGGTAAAGTTCTGTCCACTGGGCAGTTTTCTCTCACCACTTGCCTTCAGCTCCCCTGTACCCACAGTGAGACTGTAGTGCAAACCACCTACTTTAGGAAGTTATGTCACATTAGGCGGACCTGTCTGTAGATCAGGCCCCTATTTTTTCTTCTTTGGTCAACTGGTCATAGGGTGTTCTCCATAATGCTGAACGGACAGGTTGGAAAAGAAGAGGCAATGTGGTAGAAATGTGGGCCATGTGCATCTGTACTATTTCTCATAGAACTTTCTTCAAGACTTGCTTGAGAATGCACTTGTACATAACACTTTGATGATGGAATTATGTAGGAGACACCAACATTTATGGGTTGGTAATTTTCACATTAGACTCTGTCACACTCTTGCTCATGTTTGTGTTCCATAGTCTCCACTAAGACTAAGTGACAAGTCAGAATATCATTCTCAATGGAAATTACTTCCCTGCAGGGATAGCGTAGATGCTCTAAAACCCTATAGTTCTGCACTGTGGTTCACTTATAGGCACCATCAAAAGTGACAGAAAGCACCCTTATGTGCCGTAGACATTACAGGTAATATCAGATTTGGCGGGTCATATGGACCAAGAGCTTTCACTTTAATCTTTTAATGGATCAAAGCTAGCAGCCAAAGCCAGGCATACTGGTACATGCCTGCAACCCCAGCAATTATCAGACTGAGTTAATCATGAATATGAGGCCAGGCTGGGCTATACAGTGAGAGCCTATCTCAAAAAAACAAACCAAATAATACCACCACTAGCAATTTATTGGATCACTTGGTAAAATAGGCCCCAAACAATATGATTCAATGAGCTATATGCTGCCTATAAAATCCCAAGTGTGTGTTTCTCAATGAAAGAACTAGTCAAATGCAGCAACTCTAATTATCATGGAAAAAGCTCAAATGTTACAGATCATCTATTGACCCCTAGAAATAATGTAACCTAGTGTGTCAGTTTTTAATTTTCTTGCCTGTGTATTTGGATATAAATGTTATTATAATGTTATTCTTCAGCAATTATGTTATCTACTAACTAAAAGCACAGCACCAGTGCATGGCATCCTAGAAAAATTCATGGTTCAATAACAGAGCAAACAAAAACAGTTCAATAACATGTCAGCCTGCTCTAGATGTGTATAATCAGTCACTTTAAACTCTGCTCCAAAAGGAAGTTGACAGTTGTATAATTTTTTTAATTAAAAAAATATTTTTGGTCTTTTCAGACAGGGTCTCCCTGTAGCCCCAGCTAGCCTGGGACTCAGGGCATAGACCAGGCTGGCCTTGAACTCACAGGGATCTGCCCGCCTCTGCCTCTTGCATGCTGGGATTAAAGGCCTGTGTGACCACACCCAGCCTAGAGTTGTAGAATTTTAAAGGATCCTATTAGAAAAGAAAAAAAAAAAAAGAAAACCAAAAATCCAACCAAGCCATCTCCAGAGCTAATTCTGCCATGTAGTTTTATTCACTTGGATTGTAAATGAAGCCCGGGCAAAAGATGTCGATTCACCCTGGAGTAGTAGAAGATGGGGTGGAGAGAAGCAGATAAATTAGTACATCCCCAAAGACCTGTTAGTATTTTTGATGCACGTAGGTAATGAAGGCGAGAGAGCAGAATGACTTCAAGAATTTTGGTTAGAATGATTTTAGCATTTATCAACACAGGGGTGATTGGGGGAGAGACAAAGTTGAGAGAACAATAAATAATTCAGAATAATATTTTGTTCTGCCAAGTACTGTCAATGTTAGCATCCAGGAATCTTTGTGGAGCTGTCCTGTTGATGTTCCTGATAGACATGGACTGGATTTTTTTAAAAAAAGGATAATATAGTGCTTTGGCAGTTATTGATAATAAGTGCTGTTATTTTTAGCACCCCGATATAACGTGAAGAAAATGCTTAGCGGTTTTGAACTCTCTTAATCCCTTGAGGGAAAAACAGAGACTAGAAAAGGAGGCCCTTTCCAAACGTTCCCATTCATCGTCCAAGTCTGTGAACCTGGAGTTTCCAGCAGCCAATCAACGTCCAAGAGAGCTGGTAGGCGGGGCCCGGTGGCGCTGAGCTCTCCGCGGCTCCGGCTCGGCCACGTCGGGAGCCCTGCAGGTCCTTGAAGGTGCAGAATTACCAGCCTGGCTCTCAGTAACAAAACGAGCTCCTGGTCCCCACTTAAGTTTAGTAATATCACGCAGTATGTAGTATTTGATCATACCCTTTAATCGATCAGTGTGGTTTCTTTTCTTTAGTAAGTGTGACGACTACTTCCGAGCTTCAAGGACCTGGCGGTCTTCTTCTTGCGCATGCGCGGGGGCGGGGCAGGGCGGGCGCGGGACTGAGGCACCGAGTTCTGGCCTTACGGCCGCCGACATGGAAACTCTGTACAGGGTCCCGTTCTTGGTGCTCGAATGTCCCAACCTGAAGCTGAAGAAGCCGCCCTGGGTGCACATGCCGTCGGCCATGACGGTGTACGCGCTGGTGGTGGTGTCGTACTTCCTCATCACCGGAGGTAACGCGGGAGGGAGGGCGGGGAGTGCTGATCTCGGTGCGGGACGCCGGGCCAGAGATCCGTGCTGAGCTCGGTGCCCCCCCAAGTCAACGGCCCTTGAGGCCTGGCCTGTGGCTCCTCGGCCGGCCTCGCCGAGCCTCGTCCAGAGATTCGAGTTAGAGATGTTTTTCCAGCCCAGATTGTTATTTTTTAATTACTTGCTGTGCGTTATTTGACGGAGGTTTTCGGAACCACTGTTTCCGTGGTTGATCCAGAGGGCATGGGACCCCTAAACTTCTCTTTATCTGTGGCCCCTGGAAACTGGAAGAGATCTGACAACCTTTAGGTTTTTCTTTCTTGTCAAATCCGAGGATCTGGGTTTGTTTTGTGTCCACTCCACCAAAGTAAGAAAGGAAAATTTCCAAAACCATGATTTTTGAGAAATACTTGGGCTTGGAATTTAGGCTTGTGAAAAGATATATATCTCGCAAGCGTAAGTTGAAATTCCAGAAAATAAAAGGAAATATATATATAATTAATATGTAACATATAAATATATAAATGGAAAGCATCCCTGTTCTTCTCAGTTGTCTGTCTACCAGACCCTTTCAAGTGGAAAATGAAGAGGGCGTGGCCTTGGTGAGTTGGCAGTCTGTCTTCCATCCTTTCAGACATCACCCTTTGGAGCTCCTTCCAGGATTTATTCAGGAATGCTTTTAGATTCTAGGAAGTGGTGTACTTAATTCAGGTTCGCAAGAGTGGGTCCACTTTTTTTGTTTTTTAAGGCAATAGCCTTATCTTTATTTTCGTTGCTATTTTGTGAGAATTGAAGAGGTAGAAGACTGACAGGTGTTAACTTCAGAGTACCTTGAGTTTATGCCCAATCTAGAATACGTTAGCAATAAATAATACTAAAAAGTTTTTTTAAAATAATTTTTGTTGAAAAGACACTATCTGATGTTCCATTAGCGTTAATATTTGCTCAACACATTAAGTGGTGTATGTTGAAATAATGAAACTTGAAATGCATTTGATTTTTTAAAAAAAGAAAAAGTGTTTTTACTAGTCTGTTTCCTGTAACTCTTCCTTCAGCGACAGAGCTTTTGCAGGAAACTTAAGTTTTCATTTTGGCCACCTTGGTTGGTGTTTGTAAATCAGGAGGGGAATCTCTGCCTCAGTCACTGGGTGGAAGTGGAAAGGACTCCTTTGAGTGGTCAGGGCCACAACTCTTACAGCTAATCAATTTGACCACTAGAAGGGAGACTCCTCTAACCTGTGTGTATCTTTGTGCATAAAATCAGCATCACTGACACATACGAGGATGACTGAGTGACTGTTAATCAATGCTGGGGTAAGAGTGAACAGCAGGCCTTGCCTTCCTTGAAATGTAATTGACACATGTGAAATACCACATTCTTTGTTATACAGAAGTTGTTATAAGCATCAATTAGAGTGTGTTTTCTGAAGAAATGACCTGTAAGCATGAATTTGAATGATTGGAAAGGGTGTCCTAGAAAAGAAAAAAATAATGGACAGATAGTTTGCTTAGATCAGAGTTTCTTAAACATTTCACCCTTGTGACCTGTTTTTGCCTGGGAATTTATTGTAAAATCCTGGATATATTTGTTTATAAACAGATATACATACCAAATATTTAATGATAATGACTTATGAAGAAACTTACTTTAATACAGTTACTTACTTTACATACAGTTTTACCATTTAAAAAAATTTTTTTTCTTTTTTTTGGTCTTTTTGAGACAGGGTCTCCCTGTAGCCCTAGCTGTCCTGGAACTCACTATGTAGACCAGGCTGGCCTTGAACTCCCAGAGATCCGCCTACCTCTGCCTCCCAAGTGCTGGGATTAAAGGCATGCACCACCACGCCAAGCTTAAAATATTTTTTTAAAAAGAAAATGAGGTTGGTAAACTAGATGGAGTATTGCTGGGAAGACGATGACTGAAAAGTATCCATTGAATTTGGCTGCATGGAGGTCATTGGCAGCCTTTGCACAAAGGATGCCCGAAGCCAGATCAGACAGAGTTGATGAACCAAGGCCTAGTTTGCTTAATTCTTTCCAGGACTTTATCTTTAAGAAAGTAAGCAAGACATAGGACATTAAGGAAGAGCTGATGTAGGAAGGAGAGCTTGAAAGGACAGGATTGAGAAGAGATCAGGGAATAGAGTCCTGGTAAGTATAGGAAGGAGCTCACATTGATAATGCAGATGGAGTGAAGGAGGTTCTTGAATGTAGGTACCAGGGTGTGGAGATTTGCCGGGGCAAAGACAGGAATTTCTGTGTGATGGTTTTGTCAGGTCAGGGTGAGACAGACTGGTCTGCTATTTCATAAGAGAAACTGAAGGGGAGGTTATTTAAGAACAGCAGCAGAATAAGAGAGTAGATGATGCTGACAGTGGAGGTTGAGGTATAATGTTGATAGCATTAATACTGATGATCATGATTACATTGTGACATGGGGGATTGTTGGTTGGTATGATGCCTTACTCCTGTAATCCCAATGCTTGGGAGGCTGAGGCAGGAGAATTGCTTGAGTTGAGGCCAGCCTGGATTACATGGTGAGTTCCATACCAACCTTAGTTACAGAGACCCTGTCTCAACCAACCAAAAAAGAAAAAGTTTTACATTTAAGCAAGATAATTTCCTCAGTTTGTGGGAATAAATCCAAGGAGTTGGGGGCATAATTTTGTGTGCTAAAATAGATCTTTAATAATAATAATATAATAATTATCTCCCTTATTATGGAGTTATTTTAGAGTATTAGAATTAGTAAATTTTCTTTATGAAGTTGATACCTCTTTTAAACCTTTTTTTCTCCCCTTTTTTTGAGACAGGGTCTTAAAAATGTAGCTTTGGCTGACATGAGTGAAACTCACTATGTAGACCAGGCTGGGCTCAAACTCACAGAGATCTGTCTGCCTCTGCCTCTGGTGTGTTGGGAGATAATATTGTTTTAGAAGTCTTTCTAAAACATAGAATATCCAAATGGCTTATCCAAAGCTTAGAAGAGTAGCTGGATCTGATTTGATTATAATAATAGATCAAAGCAGTACTATTTAAATGTAAATAAATGGTTAGTGGCAGTGAAAATGAGTCTTTTTTCTTTTTATTTATTATTTTTATTTTATATATATGAGTGCATTGCCTGCATGTAAGTAGGTGCTCCCATGTTGTGCAGTGCCCTCAGAGGTCAGGAGGTGTTGGATCCCCTAGAACTGGAGTTACAACTACCATGTGGGTGCTAGGAATCAAACCTGGGTCCTCTGTAAGAGCAGTCAGTGCTCTTAACCACTGAGCCATCTCTCCAGCCCTGTGAATTTTATTTTTAAAACAAAAACCTAATCTGGATTCTTCTTTCATTTAGGAATAATCTATGATGTTATTGTTGAGCCTCCAAGTGTTGGCTCTATGACTGATGAACATGGGCATCAGAGACCAGTAGCGTTCTTGGCTTACAGGTAAGATACCAAGAAGGATTTGGAGATTGGAAAGGTAGTTGGGGCATGCCTGGTTGATTATTTAAAGGTACACAGCAGAGCATGGTGGTGCTTGCTTTTTACTCCAGCACTTGGGAGGGAGGTGGAGGCAGGAGGATCTTCAGTTTTAGGCCAGTCTGGGCTATATAGTGAGCTTAAGGCCAGTAGTGAGACCCTGTCTCAAAAAAGGTTTATTGGAATTAGTCATGTCCATATATATATATTATCAGTGTTACCCTATAAGTACCACTCCGTAACCAACAGGTGCTCCTAATTTATTGATTATCTGTAGCTATTTTTTTTTAATATTTTATTTTTATTTTATGTGTATGAGTGTATTGCCTGCATGATTTAAATGCACCTGTGTTGTGCAGTGCCTGCAGAGGTCAGAAGAAAGTGTCAGACTCCCTGGAACTGGAGTTACGAATAGTTGTTAGCTGCCATGTGGGTGCTGGGATTTGAACCTGGGTCTTCTGCAAGAAGAGTCAGTGTTCTTAACTGCTGAGCCATCTCTCCAGCCCCTAATTTATTATTCGTTTTTAATGTGTGTGAGTGTATTGCTTGTGTATATATGAGTGCACCTATGTTGTGCAATGCCTGCAGAGGTCTATAATTCTCCTGGAACTGGAGTTACAGACGGTTGTTAGTTGCCATGTGGGTGCTGGGAATTAAACCCGAGTCCTTTTCTAGAGCAACCAGTGCTCTTAACTGCTGGGCCATTTTTCCAGCCCCACAACTATTTCTTTTTTTTGTCTTTTTGAGACAGAGATTCCCTGTAGCCCCAGCTGGCTTGGAACTCACTTTGTAGATCAGGCTGGCCTCAAACTCACAGAGATCCACCTGCCTCTGCCTCCTGTGTGCTGGGATTAAAGGTGTGTACCACCAGGCCCGGCCTGCAACTATTTCTTAATAGAGTGTATTCATTACTTTTCTGTTGCTGTGATAAAACACCATGACCAAGGGAACTTATAAAAGGAAGAGTTTATTTGAGCTTAAGGTTCCAGAGGGATCAGAGTCTGCCATGGTGGGGAGGGATAGTGACAGGATGGCTGGAGGAGAAAGCAGAGCACTCACATGTTGAAGCAGGCACAGGAAATGGGAGCAACTGGAAATCCCACAAGGCTTAAGAACTCTCCAAGGCAGCTGCCTCCAGCTTCCTAAGTCTCCCTGAACAGCGCCACCAACTGGGGACAAAATGTCCAAATACTTGGAGCCTGTGGGGGACATTCTTATTCAAACCACCACATAGAGAAATTTACTTTCTCAGAGAATTCAAGAAAACTATATTCCTAGAAAAGTCTGATATAGGCTGACAGGTAAAGGCACTTGATGTCAGGCCTGAAAACCTGAGTTCAGTCCTCAGGACCCATGTGGTGGAAGGGAAGAACTCTCACATGAACTCTGACCTTCACATGCACACTGACATGCATGCCCATACACAAACACAAGCATATAAGACAAATAAATAAAAATATAATTTAAAAAAGAAAAATATGCTTGAAGCTTATATACAGATTTGCATGTAAGGGTTACAGTTTCTTCCTAGAGACGTTGTTGGGATCAGAGGGCCTTAATTAAGAATTCATGCTTTAAAGATATTTTCCTTTGAAATGAAAAGCTTACTAATCATTATGACTTCAAGAAGCATAAATAGTTCCTACTTAGTTTGAAATTGATAGAAATTTAAATAGCATAACTTTTCAAAGCTAAAGTTTTGTGTAAAGAATTTTCATATATTCATGTTATTCAACTTTTCAAATAATTAAAATGAGTGTTGATTTTACAGATAGTGTTGCTAGTTGATATTTTGAAACATTTTTTACCACAAGCTACGTGGTCAAGTTAATTTTTTTTTTTTTTTGCGGCGCTAAGGATTAAGACTTGGGAGTTCTAGGCAAGCACTCTACCACTGAGCTGGGTCCCAGCCAAGACAAAGGTCTTTATCTGCTTCATTCATTGCTGAATACCTAGAACTAGAGCAGTACTTGATGTGTAATATACTTCTCAATCATTGCTCCCAAATAAACGAATAAGCAAGTGCATATCTAAAGGTTTGGTAAATAGTTGTAAGGACAAAACTAAAATGTTAGCACAAAAGTATTTTAGCATGAAATAGAAATAGGAATTTCAACCTAAAGGGGATAAATTGCATTTTTTTTTTTTTAAACAAATACTCATTTGTTTTGCTGTGGTCTTTTCTTTTTCAGAGTAAATGGACAATATATTATGGAAGGACTTGCATCTAGCTTTCTGTTTACAATGGGAGGTTTAGGTTTCATAATTCTGGACCGATCCAATGCACCAAATATTCCAAAACTCAATAGGTTTCTTCTTCTGTTCATTGGATTTGTCTGCGTCCTGTTGAGTTTCTTCATGGCTAGAGTGTTTATGAGAATGAAATTGCCGTAAGTAAGATACTTTGTATACTAAGCAGTTTACAAATTGGTGTAATAACTTAGACAACATAAATCACAGGAGGTTTAATTTAACACTTAAATGTGAAAAAATCCAAGAACTAAAGAAATTGTGATTTGCCTCAGATTATAGTTATAGTCAGTAACAATTGAGATCAGTACATCTTGGCTTTTACTAAACGAGGAAATTTAGTTGTTTTGCCTCAGCATCACTGAGTGGAGATGATTATTTTTTCTCTAAAATGTCTTTCAGTTAATATGTAATTCCAGTAATAATAAGGAAGATTTTCCGGCCATAAACTGCTGCTGCTCTTTCAATGTTGGTGTAGGCTTGCTCATTCCTAACCCAAAAATCCAAAGCTTTTGATGGCCAACAAGATGCCACAGTGGAAAATTCCACACCATAAAACTTTTGTTTCGTGTACAGAATTTAATATCATATAAAGTTCCTTTCGGCTACATGGATGATACATATATCATAAATGATTTTTTGGTTTGAGTTGGGTTGAGGTTTTTTGCGGTGCTGGAGGTTGAACCTAGGAGCATTGTGCTTGCTAGGCAGGTACTTGAGCCGGGGTTTATCCCCAGCTCCCCATAAATGAATTCTATATTTATATTTGGGTTCTTATCCCTAAGATACCTCATTACATATGCAAATACTAAAAGATCTGAACTCTCAGCTGGGGAGATGGCTCTGAGGACCTGAGCTTACATTTCCACCCATGTGAAAAGGTGGGAATGAATATGTACCTCTGTGATCCCATGCTAGAGAGCAGAGATAGGTGGATTCCCGGAGCTCACTGGCCAGCCAGCCTTTCTGAGTCTGTGAGGTCCATGTTCAGTAAGAGGCCTGTCTCATTCTGAACTCTGCCTGCACATGTACCCATATGTACACTTGCACATAAATGTGCACACACACACACATAAACATAAATACTCCACATACACCTAAAAAGGAAAAAAAAAAAAAAATCTAACACTTCTGGTCCCAAAACTTTTGGATAAGGATGTTCAGCCTCCATGACGAAAACCCGTTAAACCTTAGATGGGAGAAAAGTATTGTCCCATAAGAAGATGGGGAAGGGCTGGAGAGATGGCTTAGCAGTGAAGAGCCCTGGCTGCTCTTGGTTATGGGTTTGGTTCCCAACGCCCACATAGCGACTAGCAACTGTCCGTAACTCCAGTTCTAGGGTATCCGATGCCTTCTTCTGACCTCTGGGGCCCTTGTATGACACGGGTGCACTTGCGTACATGCAGGCAATATGCTCATACACATAAAATAAAAATAATAAAAATAAAATAATAAAAAATGGTTGGGAAAGGGTTAGATTGATTTAAAGAAAATTAAATTAAAGGGTAGTATTGATTTAAAGAAAATTAAAAAATTTTTTTTTTGGTCTTTTTGAGACAAGGTCTCCCTATAGCTCCAACTGTCCTGGAACTTACTATGTAGACCAGGCTGGCCTCAAACTCACAGAGATTCACCTGCCTCTGCCTCCTGAGTGCTGGGATTAAAGGTATGCGCCACCATGCCTGGCAATTTAGAATATTTTTTAGAAGAAAGATAAATTGTTTTTGTGGAAATATATAATTCCATCTGAGCTCATTAATTTGAAATTTAGGTAAGTCTGCTGATGTTCTCATAATTCCGATTTCACCTGGGATGCGTTAGGAGCCACAGGAACTCAGTACTTCAGTTGTTTTTTAGGATCTGTATTAAGCATCAGATATCAGCCACACTGATATTTTAGCATGCTTGAATTTTACAAGTTCACTTGTCATATGGCTTACTCTGTCTTCGGCCTTGAACATTCTTGGGGTAGTCAGGCTACTTATCCTATAGTTACATTCCTGACTTAACCTTGGTGGAATGGGAGGAGCTCACATGGGGTTCTTTGCTGAACTTTTCTGTGGCCGTGTAGCCCTCGCAGGCTCCTACCTGACTCACTTTTGTCTGAGGAGATACTTCTGACCACTGGCCAACTTATATGAAGACTTAGGTACAGTAACTTCGTTTAGTTCTTTTCTCTGCCCTTTTGGAGGTGATTCACCTGGTAAAGTATACTCTTATACCAGAGATTGGACTTTTCCATAGCAGATCAGGAACAGTGGCCGTCAGAGAGGATAAAGAGACTATTAAAAGGTAACACCTGCATCTGGAGAGGTGGCTCAGTAGTTAATAACACTAGCTGCTCTTGCAGAGAACTTGGGTTCAGTTCCCAGCACCCACATGGTGGCTGACAACTAGTTCCAGGGGATTCGACACCCTCTTCTGACCTCCGCAGGCATTGCATGGCACAGGTGCACTTACACACACGTAGGCAATATCTCATATACATAAAATAAAAATAATAAAATATTTTTTTAAAAAGCAACACCTGAGCAGGCCTGGTGGCGCACATCTGATGGCACTACTAAGGCAGATCTAATTAGAATTGGAATTCAAGGCCTGCCTGATCTATATAGTGAGTTCTAGGCCAGCCATAGCTACATAGGGAGACTGTCTCAAGACATAATGGCCCCTCACTCAAGAAAGAAAAAAACCCTCCTGAAAGCAGGGAAACTTTCCAGGCATAGCGCACACAGAACCTTTGCTGGTCTCACCCTTTCTGATGTCCTCATTCTTCCTTGTAGTTAAGTCTGTCCCAGGAATGTGTGCCAAATAAGAACAGAGGTTAGTTTTTACTTTGAGCATTTCACTTCAGGTGGCACAGCGTGCTGCCTGTTGCTCACAAAAAACAAACAACTTTAGGAAGTGTTTAATTCTCTGGATTTTGTCCATCTTCACATTTATGTAATGTTTATATATATAAACATTGCCTTCCTGTCCCTGTTAAAAAAGTCAGTGTGCAAGACTGTTGGCTAAATTCAAGTTTGAGGGTAGGGAAATAGGGTAGGACTCTGGGGTTCAGTAGCAAGTGTCTTTAGATCTCACCAAGCACGACAGAGGTCTAAATAGGAAATCACTGCTTCCTGTAACTTGTCTCAAAATTGATTTTAAGATTTGCATTTTCAAGAGGAAGGAATTTGTCTTTCAATTTTTTTTTTTTTTTGGTCTTTTTGAGACAGGGTCTCCCTTGTAGCCACAACTGGCCTGGAGACTCATTATGGAGACCAGGGTGGCTCACAGAGATCTGCCTCCTCTGTGCTGGGACTAAAGGCATGTGCCACCATGCCTAGCCAGTAGTTTCTCTCTTTGATTCTCATAATTAGCTGAGATGTCTGCCGAGATGTAGAGTGGAAGAAACCATGGACAACTTCCAATGAGAAGGGAAAGAAATCTGTTAACTTTTCTGGAGTATTTTCAGGCCCTGCACAGATGGTGCATGAGGTCAGCAGATTGCACATAGGATGGTTGTAGCTCCTATCACCGGCAAGGAAGTTCTCTGGAATTATAAATGTATATAGACCTGAAGAAAGAAATGATGTTTGGACCCTGAGTAGAAGATCTGCGTGCAGATTTATACCTGGGTTATCGATAAAAAAGAGTTCATGCCTTTAGCTTCTAATATTAGGCAGAATTTTAATATTTTTCAACTAAATTTTTTATTTTTGGGAATTTCGTACATGTATATAGGGAAACATGATTATATCTGCTCACTGTTTCTCCTTCCAGCTCCTCCCAAGTCCTCCCCAACAATTCCCTCCAAAATTCATACTGGTTTTTGATACTCCACAAAGTCCAGGTAGTGCCGCCCGTATGTTTATGGGTGTGGGCCATCCACTGCAGCATAGGAAATCCACCAGTGGCTGCTTCTTTTGAAAATGTCTATTTACTCAAGCCGTTCTGGGGATTGAAGTCAGGCCTTGTACATGCTAGGCAAGTGCTCTCCCACTGAGCTGTATCCCCTCATAGAATCATTAAAAAGAGAAAAGAAGAGAAAGAAACTACATGGCATGTTGTAGTGCAGTGGCCTAGCTCAGGCTAGTACTTGGTTGCAGATGTATTTACAGGTTTCTGCATTTACACATGTCTGTTATAAAGCTGTATATACAACCGTTCTAAGTAGTACTGTTATATAATTGAGAACAAAAATCGCATTTAAAGGGCTGGAGAGATGGCTGAGCAGTTAACAGCACTGGCTGCTCTTACAGAGGACCTGGGTTCAATTCCCAGCATCCACCTGGCAGCTAACAACCATCTATAACTCCAGTTCCAGGAGATCCAGCACCCACTTCTGACGTCCACTGGCATTGCATGACACAGGTGCACTTAAATACATGCAGGCAAAACGCTCACACACAAAAAATAATAAAATAACTGTGTTTTGGTCTTTTTGAGACAGGATCTCCCTGTAGCCCCAGCTGTCTTGGAACTCACTATGTAAGCTGGCCTTGAACTCACAGAGATCGGCCTCCCAAGTGCTGGTGGGATTAAAGGTATGCACCACTATGCCCAGCCTCAAAAATGGCCATTCTTGAAATCGGTACTCAAGTTTTTCTAACATGGTAAGAAAAACCTGGGACCTCCTGAATAAATCCTAAAATCACAGCAGCAGTTTAACAGAACAGATGTTCTCTTAAAGGGATGTAGGAAATGAAAAAATAAGAATATAGAAGTGAATTGATACTATTTAAGACATGACATGAAGCACATAAGAGATTTTTTTTTTCCATGTAACTAAACTTTACAAGTGTTGAGACATCTTGTTTCTAAGCCAGGTGTATTGTTGCACACCTGGAATCCCAGTACTTGGGAGATGGAGGCAGGAGGACAAGAAGTTCAAGACCAGCCTCAGCTACATAGCAAGTTTGAGGCCTGCCTGGGCTACACGAGATTCTGTCCTTTTTAATCCTTTCTCAGGTGTTTATATTTTATTATTATCACCATAAACATTTGTATTCATCAGATACCTATTTTTTCATGTCTGAACTGCAGTCTCTGTGTCGCCCAAGTTGGTTTTGAGCTCATGAGCTTGGGTGATCCGCCTAAGTAGCTTAGACTGCTAGCACCCGCTCCGTAGCTGGCTTCTACCCATTTTCTGGACACTGAGCATTAAGAATTTTGCCTTTGTGTCTTAGGGTGATTTTACATTTATACTTAGACTAGTACTACTCAGTTTATGACTTCAGTGTAGCCTGTCACTTCTCTTTCATCTCTTTCCTCTTTTCTTAGGTTTGCCGATTATTCTGATTGGAGGAATACTAAACATTTTACTGTGGACACAGTATTTGTACATATTTAATAGTCTAGTGACATTTCAGTATATATGCATTTGTAGTTATCAGGTCACAGTAACTGGTATATCTATTTCTTGGGACAAATGTTATTTCTTCATGTTAGGAACACTCCAAATTCTACTGGCAATTTTGCATTGTTCATTAAATAATATTCAACCATAGTTATCCTGTACTGTGGAACATTAGAAGTTACCCTGTGCAGCTGAGGCCTGTACTCATTAACCATACTCTCCGTCCTTCTCTCCCCACACCCTTCGGGCCCTGGCCCAGAGAAACCTTGGTGTTCTGCGACCATCCTTGCAGGTGTTTAGACTCTGTTTCATTAGCTTCCACAATTGGAGCTGTATTCCAAAAAATTAAGGCCATAGAGTCTGGTATGTGTGGTTTCTTTCAGTGAGTAACATCTTGAATCCATGATTCTTTTCTTTTTTTCGCAAATGAGAGGGGGGCAGGGGGAGAACAGTGAAATAAAGCAGGTGCACAGCTGCTGGGGACGGTGGAGGAGAGGAGTGAGGAAGAGCTGGTGTCCAGCTGTGGGCTTATGCCTACTGGCTGTCAGACTTGGGGTTACTTCTGTGAATTCGTCTCAGGTTCTAGATCTGTTTAGTGAAGGCAGTAGCACTTAGAGACCATTGAGAGTAAGTGAGAAAGCATCTTATAGGCTAGTAAACCTAATATGTTTTTCACTGGAAAGTTAATCCTTAAAGTTGTTTCCAGTTGGGTTTTCTTCCAATTTCAAAAAGGAAGAAGTAAGCCATTACTGTTTCTAAAAGAGAAAAGTTTGTTTCTGGGACTCCTGGAGCAGGGTTGAGGAGACTTGTATCTTATTAGTGCTGGTCATTCTTTTCTGGCCCAGCGGTTTTGACCACTTAACTGTTCCATACAGTTCCATACAGCCTCCAATTTCAAAAAGGAAGAAGTAAGCCATTACTGTTTCTAAAAGAGAAAAGTTTGTTTCTGGGACTCCTGGAGCAGGGTTGAGGAGACTTGTATCTTATTAGTGCTGGTCATTCTTTTCTGGCCCAGCGGTTTTGACCACTTAACTGTTCCATACTGTTCCATACAGCCTCCTAGCTGTACAAGAGGAGGGGGCCTGGCAGGATGGCTCAGCAGAGCTCATGAACTGAGTTTGTTCTCTGGGACCCAGTCTGTGGAAGGAGAGAGCCGACTCCCATAAGGTGTCCTATTACCTCCACAAGTGTACTGTGACATATATGCACATGCACACACACATACACACACTAAAAATTTTAAATCAAAATAACTCTTATTTGGTTATTTTATATACTTTTGGGGGGCATTTCTGGTGTTAGAACCCAAAGCTTCACATGGTAAGTAAGCACTTGCCATACAGGATTTTAGGATTATTGCAAGGAGAGACTTTGGTGCTGGTGCTACCTTAGCACCGTGCCTGCCTTAATATATAGAGGGGCTTAGTGATTATTGAACAAGTGGCTACCTTAAAAATCAAAGTTAAGTAAAGGTCTTTCATGGTGGCTTCTGACTATAGTTTTAAATTGCATTTATTTATTATTTATTTATTGTCTGTGTTGGGGGAGGGGCATGTGTCCTGGTACATATGTGGAGGCCAGAGTACAGCTTGAGGTAGTTGGTTCTCTCCTTCGACTATGTAGGTTCATGGGATCAAACTCGGGTCATTATGCTTGGCAGCAAGCATCTTTTGGAGCTCTCAGTTTACCCTTTTGTTTATTTGTAAACATCAGACATTATAGTAGCAAACTTATGTGGTGTCTTCCATGTCAATGTATATACTCATAGGGCCCTTTTACTATTTTATTTAGTTTGGGTGAGGGTGGGAAAGGTAAGATGTGCTGGGTTGAACAGAGTTGTTGTAAAGGTGTTATGTTAAATGGCAGTTCTCAAAGTAGATGACTGGTCTGCTACTGCAGGAGAGTGCTAAGTCCAGATTGGCTGCATTAGCTCTCATAGATCTAGAGAGTCAGCATAAGTCCAGAAGTTGGGAGGGAGGAGAGTAAATCTTTTTGTAAAAAATATATTATTTTTATTTTCTATGTATGAGTGTATCGCCTGCATGTACGTAAGTACACCTGTGTTGTGCAGTGCCCAAAGAGGTCAGAAGAGGACATCGAATCCCCTGGAACTGGAGTTACGGATGGTTGTTAGCCACCATGTGGTGCTGGGAATAGAACCCAGATCCTCTGCAAGAGCAGTTAGTGCTCTTAACCCCTGAGCCATCTCTCCAGCCTGAGAGTCAAATTCTTAAATGTTTGTTGTGTGCCAGCCATTGTAGTAGGCCTCAGTGAGAGAAAGGTGTTTATAATTCTTACTTTACAGGTGAAAACACTTGGCATTCTTGATAGTTGCAGCTTATTACAGGAGTGACGTTGCTGTATGAGAGCATTCTCATAGATAAGCCTGTTGGCCAGCCTTACCCAGTGAGTGATAGGAGCAGGTCCAGGGAGTAAGTTCTGAAGGCATGCTAGTGAGAATAGCATGTAATAGATCATTTAGTAGTTCGGATAGTACTACATAATTTTTCAGATTTTATTTTGTCCTGATCCTGAAAATTATTTCTTAATATTAGATCTCAAATATTTATTGCAAATGAGAAAAGTTGGAACATTTATACTGTACTTGGTTCTTTAAGGAAGATTTTAGGGCCCAACTTACACATTGAATAAAAGGAACTCTTTCTTGCCTGATTGGCTTGAAAGTTGACCTCTGTGAGCAGCGCTGAAGTCTGTGACTGCTCTCTGCCACCTCCCAGGTGCACAGAGTGCAGGGCAGGCACCTCTGCACTTTGCAGAGGGCTCCGAGGCTCGGCATCCAGTCCCTCACTGCCACCTCTAGTGATGGTTAGGGTTTTTGGAATCCAAACCAGTTTCCACTCAAAGTTTAATTTTGTTGTAATTTTGAGTTCCAAAGGATTCTCTGACTATAAACTTTAGCCTTTATGTAGTATTTTTATTTTTCTGGTTCTTAATGTCTAATTCTGTGCTAGTTAGTATATCGCTTTGTAAGTTTGTACTTTGAGAGGAAGGAGGCTAATTCTTTATTGGGGTAAGGGGAGCAGGATATGAACCAAGGGCAAAAGTGAGGAGGAGCAGCTATATTTTAGGGTTGCCATTTGATTCATAGGTGTGAGCACTTTGAATTGCTGCTTCCGGTTTACTCTTTGTGTCTATAAATTTTATTTCTGCAGGGGCTATCTGATGGGTTAGTGCCTTCTGAGAAGAACAGTGGATGCTGGATTTGCTCCTGTTCATGAGGCTTTAAAGGCAGAACCAATCCCCGGTGCAATGTGGAAACAAGAGCAGCAGTGAAGAAGCAGCGGGTGCCGGCCTGGCACTGCAGCCGCCGGAGCTCTGTGCCGCCAGACGGTCCATCACAGTGTTTTTCCTGCTGACCTGCTCTGTTGTACCAAGGATGTTAAGTGGCATTTCTTGTTTTTTTTTCTTAAAGAATATACTCCACTTCTAAAACTATGATATTGAATAAAGTGATTATTTTTTACAACCCCCTTATCGATTTTTGGATATGACATTTCTGATTCTCAGAAATTTAATGTAATCAGGAAGATCCTGAGAGCTGAGAAATCTGGACAGCTGGTCAGTGCGTCCAGCGGTGCTTTGCCGTTTAATGGTGTGTGCGGTGCTGTTTCAGGTTCACATGCAAGACTTCCCTGGACAGCACGACATGCAAAAAAGAGCAGAAATAAGTAATTTTCTAATTTAACATCTTTTATGTCTATCATTTTTGCTGAGTGGTAATTAACCTTTTGGGTTTATAAACTACGAAGTGCCATCTTGTGGCATTCTTAGGTATGTTGGTAGCCAGAGAACTTAACTACCTTGGTTAGGTTGCTTCGCAACGGAGCAGTCCCCTGTCCCTATCGATACCCTGCATAGTTGCATAATTATGTTGTATGTTTTGGACACATCTCTGGGCCAGTCCTTTCCATTCTTTGACAGGCTATGGCCTTCACTTCTCCTGTGGCTCAATTCGTTCTTATCCTAAGACCTATAATTTTACAGTAAGGTTTTCAGCTGAGTCCCCTTTCCCTTCCAGGTTAATGGGGGATCGTATTATAACTGCGTCAGTAAAAATTCACTCATTTATTCCGAAAGCTTTGACTAGCTCTTTATGCTCAGCAGCACAGGATGAATGAGATGAATAAAGGCTCCGGCCTGGTCGAGCTTCCATTGGATACAGCAGATCAGAATGCTAAAGCTGTCAGATTCTCATAGCTGCAGCAGGAAAGTAAAACAGTTAATGAGAGTCACAGAGAAAAGGGATGGCTGTGCTCCGAAGGAGGGAAATGACCTCAGACTTCAAAGGCTTGGTTCAGTATTAATTGTAGTTTTTATTTATCCTTTGATCATATTTTAAATTTAAAACCCTAAACTGATAAAATTCAAGAATGTCTACTTTTCCTCACGGTGGTGGAGTCGTTAACAGTTCTTGCTACAAACCACTAGATGGTGCTACATCAAGGGTTGGTATGTTTTAAAACTAGCTTTTGGGGGCGGTAATCATATCTGCCCAATGAAATATATTTAAGTCAATAATATGTTAAAGTGTGTAATTATAGAAAATATTTTGTTGGTAAAGATGAATGTTTATGTGAATAAAGAATATGACCATTCCTGGCATAAAGTATTTCAGGGGCATGAAACAACACAGCTGGAAAGCCCCCAAACATGAAACAGGTGAGTGGTAGAATAAGTTTACATACTGGATTAGAGACAGACTCGTCTTTGATTTGTCACTTGAGGCTCTCCTAGGAGAGGATGCCGACAAGTGTCAAATGGTTTTGTGGAGCATTCAGCGTAACTACTCTGAAAGAAGAGGAAAGCAGTGAAATTTGGAAGCCAGCAGGCAGATCGGAAGCCATCACTGGTGCCCGTGCCCCATGGGGAGCTCCCTAGCAAAGCTTGCCTGTCAGGGCAGTATGGTAGACAGAAGTGGCTCCAGCCCTGGTTCGCCGTATTGTGGTGTCATTGACCGAAGGCTGCCTTAGGAGTAGCAGTTTGGAAAATTAGGGTGAATCCCATAAAGCTAGCAACTGAGGTTACCAAGCACACTACAGCAAATCTTCAAGGGAGACTTGAGCAACACGTTTATGAATGACTTTTTCTTCTGCTGCTCTGATGAAATTCACAAAAGTGACTTAAAGGAAAAAGTTTATTCTGGCTCACAGTTCAAAGGTGCAGTCCATGACCGGGAAGTCAGGGCAGCAGGAACTTGAAACAGCTGGTCACGTCACAGTCATAGCAGAGTGGTAGGTACATCCTGCAACTCAACTAGCTTTCTCCTTTATTTATTTGTATGTGTGTCTGGGTATGTGCATGTGAGTGCAACTACCTATGGAGGCGAGAGAGGGTGTTAATCCCCTGGAGCTGGAGTTGCAGGTGTTTTTGAGCAGCCTGACATGGGTACTGGGAGCCAAACTCGGGTCCTCTGGAAGAGCACTAACCCTCTTAACCACGGAGCCATCTCTACCAGCCCTTTCTCCTTTTTAATTTCGTGCAGGACTTCCAACCTAAGGAATGGCACCTCACATGGTGGGTAGGTCTTCCTGTCTTATAATCCTCTTCCACTAAACACCCAGGTGATTTGAGATGCCACCACATTGACAGTTGAGATTAGCCATTACAGATTTCTTTTATAAAGAAAAATCCTATGTGTAGGATTAAAAATGAGAGCCTGGTGTGGCACATGCCTATAATCTCAAAACTCAGGAGGCTGAGGGAGGAGGTTAAAGTTCAAGGCCAACCTGGGTCACATGTCTTAAAAAAATGGGAAAGCAGGCTAGAGAGATGACTCCGTGGTTAAGAGTACTGCTTGCTCTTGCAGAAGACCCGGGTTCAAATCCCAGTATTCTCATGGTGGCTAACAGCCATTCCTAACTCCAATTCTAGGGGATCCATGCCCTCTTCTAGCCTCTGCAGGCACTGTACAACACAGGTGAACTCATAAAAATAAAGTCTAGCCGGGCGTGGTGGCACACACCTTTGATCCCAGCACTCCGGAGGCAGAGGCAGGTGGATCTCTGTGAGTTCAAGGCCAGCCTGATCCACATAGTGAGTTCCAGGACAGCTGGGGCTACTCCCAGCACTCCGGAGGCAGAGGCAGGTGGATCTCTGTGAGTTCAAGGCCAGCCTGATCCACATAGTGAGTTCCAGGACAGCTGGGACTACAGGGAGACCCTGTCTCAAAAAGACCAAAAACTAAATAAATAAAATAAAGTCTAAAAAAATGGGAAGGAGAGATTGTGCTAGGATCATTGTCAATGTTGATTTGAGTTGCAAAATGCGAAGTGACAGGCGCTTAGTACATAGTGCATGACTGAAGGTAACGTTGGAAGTTACTTTCCCATGTTGTTTGAAATGGAATCCAGGTCTTCAGAGAACAGATGTTACTCATAAGCTGAAATTTTTCTAGTGCAGAAGAGCAGTCTTAGCACAGTAATAAATAGTATACATTTAGTGATTCAAAGAAAGCCAGATATACTAGATGGTCAAGACACTAGATGGTCAAGAAAAACACAGCTCCTGCCCTGGTGGACTTCAAGTCTAGAGGATGCACAGCAAAGAGTTTGTTGCTGGAGCAAAGCTTCATCTTCAAAACTTGTAAGGTTAGTTTCTTAACGAGCCTGGAATGTTAGTATACTTGCCTCAAATCTTTTGTTCTTTAGGTACTTAGACGGTTACAAGGGAAAGAGATTCATTCTACGCTGAGCAGAGGATAATACATTAGGTTCTGGAGTGTTTCTCGATACTTAAGAACGCCAACAGGCACCATAATTAGGAATGTAATCCTGGAAGTTCTGTTGTCGTTTCTGGCATTTTCTGTAGATCCATGACAAGGCTATGAGAATCATTAGGGTTAGCTACCTAGATGGTTACATTCAACAATTCAGGCACTGTAAAAGTTTTTAATTCTTTTATTTTTATTCCATTAAAGATTGTAAATTCAGCTGGGCGTGGTGGTGCATGCCTTTAGTCGCAGCACTCGGGAGGCAGAGGCAGGTGGATCTCTGTGAGTTCAAGGCCAGCCTGGTCTACGTAGTGAGTTCCAGGACAGCTGGGGCTACAGGGAGACCCTGTCTCAAAAAGACAAAAAGAAAAAAAAAATTGTAAGTTCAAAAGTCCCAGAGAAAGGACTAATGGACCAAGTTGGATGAGATATTTATCTGGGATTTTTTGTTTTGTCTTGGAAAACAGAAGGTAGGGTTTTTGTTCTTGGCTTATGTTTAAAGGGCTGAATAGTAAAAGGCTCAATGTATACTAAGGGAAGAACTTGTTGACTTTCACTATGTCTATAAATATATATACATACATATATATAAAATCTCTTTAAATTCAGTCTACCCACTTTTTTAGAAGATCCAGTTATCAAGTTTATGAAGTTTAGTGCATAGTTTATTACAATGTCTGCAAGAGAATTGAAACCCTCGCTACCCTGAGTGAGACGGCTAACTTGAGTTGCCCTTCCCGTGATGTCCGCCCTTATTTTGCAGGTGCTTGCTTTGTCTTCAGAAAGCTATTTTTTTGCTTTTTTACTTAACTGAATTTATTTCCACTCATTGTGTCTGCAGTGAACCTGTCTACCTGTGCTACATAATGGTGACCAGCATTCCACATACTGAGCTATCACGTACCTCCTTTTTCCAGGTTAGCCCTTTCTAGTGTTTTAGGCTCAGAAATACAGGCATAGCTCCTTTATGATTTGGCTGGGCTACTGTCTGGATTACCTGGGAGCATGTGTACGGCTTGGGGGTGCTTATGCTTATGTCAATTTTTTGGCAACTACTTCTAAGCTATGCTGATGCCTGTGTTTCAGCAACAGTTACTGTAAATTTGGACAGGCAATCCCATGAGTTCCTAGGCATTTAGGCCTTTGGTTCAGTCATACTTGGACCTGTATTCCAGCTCTTCCAATTACCAGCTATGCCACCTTCAACAAAATGCTTAGGTTTGCAGAGCTTCATTTTCCTTTTAGTAATCTGAAGATAACAATACCGTACCGTAGGGATGTTCCAAGAATTAACTGAACTAGTGCACAGCCTCCAGAATGTATTAGGTGCTCTATAAATACCAACCCTGAACTTAGCTTTGCCCTCATAGCAGTCCTTCTACTTAATGTGGGATTATACGCTCTCCTCTGGGGATGGGAGTGGTGGAAATGCGCACACACAAGCATGTGTGATAAATACGATTGAGCGCACAATGTCTGCTTTTATTTTTATGTCCATTTAAGGATGTTTTAAAGATTTATGTAGGGTGGAAAGAGCTAAGCAGGGGCTCCGCTTGACTGTAGGCCAAGGAGCTGCCTAGATTAATGGATGGCATCTCCTCTTTATAAGTCTGTCTTCAGAGTCGAGGATGAACCTTCACACATGAGTGAGTGCTAGTGTTGGCAGTTGGTCCACCTCAGAAAGTTTTCTCCTCATAGCAGAGGGCGAGGACCGGTCTAAAGAGCATTAATGGGGAGCCCCAATAGTTCAGTGCCCAACACTGTC